CTCAGCCTCAACCAAACTTTCTTAATCCCCATATATTTTATTTTGTAATATTTCTGTTTTTCATCATTTTCCAATTACTAATTTTTTTTGATTTTTCGAGGGTAATTTTGTCTTTTATCGTTTTGCGTGCCACGCGGGTCCCGAGGGACGTTTTAGTTATTTTCTTGTGTCGAGAATTTTAGAAATGTAATTTTAATTATTTAAGTCAATTAAAGTCGACGGTGTCAATTTTAGAATTTTCTGGGAATCGGGACGACTTCCAGATTTGGAAAACCCTCTCGGTTACGCCATTTTGCCTTGGGGTCATTATGGACTTTTCACTAGCATATATATATATGTGTATCTATATATTAGAGGATGATATTTTGGGGACCTTGATGGAATTATATTAGAAGATAAAGGACATGGGGGTAACTTACCCAAAATTTAGTAACCATCTTAGGCTTGACATTGGCATCACTTGGACCACAAAGGAAAAATCAAAGCCAAGCCATCACCTCTTCTTCCTCATTCTCGGCTGAACATCCCTCCCCCTCTAGATTTTTATTTTCTCTTTCTATATCTATGTGTATAAATGTCTCCCATGCTTTAAGTCCAATTTTGAGAAGTTTGGGGAGAGATTGTGAGAAAGGCAAAAGGGGAAAGATGAAGAGCATGTCAAGGGTCACATTTTGAGACCATGGTTGCTAGGGTTTGGAAGAATTTCGAATTTGGGAGGCCTCAAGGCTTGTTTGGCTAGCTTCAATGAGGTAGGAGTGTTCTAATCTACTCAATCTTTGATTTTTGTGACCTATCTTTTTATATTTGATGTATAACTTGCTAAATTGAGTAATTCCTTGAGTAATTACTATAGTGTTAAATGTAAACCTTGCGTATCCATGTGGGTATTCATACAAAAGTGATTCATGAGTTGTGGCCGTTGGATTTAATTGAAAATCATGCTTAAATGATTGTGTTTTCAATTTCATTTGTCTAGTTGCTAAAGTTGAGTGTTAGTAAGCATGTTTTTAATTCTATTAGAAATTCCTTGTTAAGTATGCTATATTGTGAGGTTGAATTGTATGGAATTTCTATATTGTCATCACATTAAAGAATTTGCATAATTCATACATTATCATTGGGAAAGGAAAAAGGGAAAAATGTTTTGAAAGCAAATGAGATGATTTTGGGAAAATGTTTTGAAAAGTGTTTGCAAAAACTCGGACGCCTAGGAGGCACCTAGTGGTCCGTGGTGTTAATGTAGTTTAGAGGGGAGTATGGTTGAGCTAACCAGGCCTGATGCGACGCTTTGGAGGTGCCTTGTGGTCGTGGATGGTTAGCCAATCCTCCTTTCGTGAGGCCTTGGAGATGCCTTGGGTCGGATTACACTAACGGTTTGAAAGTCGAAACGGAAATGTTTCGTGTATGGGGAGTGACATTTACATAACATTGCACTTCATTGGAATATATGGTGTGTATGTGTTTAGGTGACAATTGTTATATACTTGCCGCTGTAGTTGTTGCCATGTACTCTTATACTATGATCCCGTTTTCTTTTACCTATTCCTTACGTGGATTCACGGGGTCATAAGAAGTGTGTCTTAGACACTTCCTACTGAGTGTTTAGCTCACACCAGTATTTTAACATTTTCAGGTTCGGGAAAAGAAATGGTGGGCGACAATCTACCACAGTCTTAATTTGGATTAGAAGAATGTATTTTTTTGCTACCTTTTGTATTAGGCCTCATTTTGTAAAGTGTTGACCCAAATGTATCATTTTGCAGTGTGAAATATTTAGATTCAGTTTTTATATGGCCATTGGGGAAATATAATTATGTTTAATTATACTGAATCATTTAGTGTATTTTATGTAACGTGTTGTAAATTATGCTAACATTGTTATTTTTGTTAATGTATTAGATGTTAAAATGTATTTACATATGTACGGGGGTATGGTCTGTTGGTGATTGGTTACCAATGTTGGTGTATATCAAAAAGTGGAAATTTTGAGTGTGGATAACCCAGAACTAGTCGACGTAAAATTCCCATACGTCGACCGAAAGACCTAAACCAGTCGACGTGAACTTCCCACACGTCGACCGGTATCTTGGCAGTGAGTTTTTCACTGTGCACGTCCCAACCAGTCGATGTGTAACCCATACAACGACCGGTTTCTGTGTAGTAAATATTTGTGACTTATTTTTCCATTTTGCCATTGACCACTCACTCAAGTGTATTGTTACACGTTATAAGGCCCAGTAAATTACGATAATTATATTTTAACCATAGAAAAGACTATATTGCCCTGAACCTTATCTTATTTTTATGTAATACGATTAAATGACTAATGTGCCCCTTTGAGTTTCAAACCATTTGAATTGAGCAAAGTACGATATTGCCCTTTTTGGACTTGAATTTGTAAATTTAACGTGAAAGGACCATAATACCCTTAGATGATTTTGGATCGTGTAAGGACCCGTTTAATGATCCGGATCAAGTGGATTTGGATCGTTGCATCTCTCTTATTTTCTACATTTAAAACTTCTGAAAAATCATAAACTCATCTCTCACGATTGTGATCGGCCCTATCGTGAGACTAGACTTGATTTTTAATTAATAATTCAATATATAATCATTCTTTGACTTAATATACTAACAAAGAATACAATAGAAATTAAATAGAGTTCCTTATGTATCCTACAAGTATATATTTCTCTGAAACATCGTGTAAAAAATCATCATAGCACAAGTAAACACGCAACATATAATATTACTCCATTTTAAATAAAAACAAAAAAGAGAAAACTGTATGACAAATTATTTGGATGGAAAGAAAATATTTTTTTCCGTTCTTTTCAATCAAATAAGAAACAAATATTATTCGAATTCATCATTTCTACTATTCATACCATTCAATTAAACAAAAACAGAAACACATTCTCTTCCTTATTTTTGGGTTCCTTCAACCAAACCAAGTATGTTTGGAAATGGATTGGAATTTGGGAGGGAAAATGGTCCATGCCTGTGAATAATTTCCCTGGAAGAAGCTAAAGAATTCCCATTGCATTTAATTGTTTGTGGCCAAAAGGTGAAGAAACTTATTGGTTTGTTGGGTGGTAATGAACAAAAGGGATGAGCATGCAGTGCAGTGCAGGCCACTCACAGTCACACACACAAACACACACACACACTAGTCTCTGAACATAGCTATGGATTTAGCATGCATTCCTCTAAAATCTACCGGCACTTATCCCGGGCCTAGAGATCATATGCTAACCATCTTCTCTGTCTTATTCTTATCACCCATATCTGTGGAGGACCATTTCTTCCTCTCTACTCATCCATATAATCCTCATTCCCTTATCGCATACTCAAACACTCACACCTAGATTTAACTGACACTGGAATATTTAGTCCTTGAAGATCTAGAATTTTACCATGCATGTGTATAAAATTACTGCTCAATGGCAACATATTTGACATTCTAGCTATTGGTTTATTATTATTATTATTATTATTATTATTATTATCCAGTTGTTAAAGGTACCTTATTGTTTTATTTGACAAATCTTGAACGGATGGTCATCCTCACAGTCTAATGGATAGTATGGAGCCGATAGATTCTGTATACCAAGGTCTAACTTCGCAGTAAGTTAGCGGAGGATTGCAGGGGCAGAGCTCCTCTGTCCGAAGGTGGGGGTTCATGGGCTTGACCCCGACCTGAATTTTTTGGAGGGTATTTTGATAATTTTCGTACTTGTTATGTTGCCCTAATGCGATGGTAAATATTAATTGTGAACTCTATGTATCAGCTGATATTTTTTGATCATCATATAGTTTAGTGAAATTCCTGCAACTCTTGCACGTAGTCTTGAATTTTGAATTAATCAAGTAAAATCAGTGTGCTCTTATTGTGTGTGTTTGATATATTTTTTGTATTTTTTTATTTAATTTCGCGACACAGTCTAACCAAAATTGCTAATAAATGAATTTTTATTCCTTAAATCTTATAAAATGCATCTAAATGAAATAAATCTCACAACTAGCATTCTCGATTTGAAATTTTGTTTTAAATAACATTGTCCATTTAAAGAACAATCTGGTGTGTGAAAGAGAGTTGAAGTGAATGATATTTCTTGTAGGTGTAGGAGTGAAGTATGATCATTTGTTTTTTTTTTTTTTTTTTTAATTTATTCTATTTTTACTTTTTATTCAATTTGAACAAAATTAATTGAAGTACCCCTTACACAGGGTGTTTCTAGTCTTTTCCTCCCAGCACTCTGTCTAAGATTATGAAAAAAGAAGTGTTTGTTCTATTCTGTTGTCAATTGTGGTCTTAGATGTAATTAATGAGCATATAATAATAGAAGTCATTAGGTATTAATATTTATTCAATTTTCAACTTTGGATGTACAAAAAATATACTAGCGAGATCCCTATAATTTGCCCAATGAACAAATTAGGTCTGATATTATAATCTGAAACAGAGACTTCCTAGTACTACTGCATTAATAAATAAAGTAGGTCTACTCTTATAATGTTAACAATGACATCTCAATATCTCATATTACTACATTAAATTGAAAATTGAATTTATTTACTTTTTCAGTGTACTCTGTCCATTCCATTGCCCATTGACAAAGACCTCAAATACCTCCCTCCAATTACCATTTTCACACATCAATTCACACATAAGTTCTGATATATATATATATATAGAGTGGTTAGTGGGAAGGGGATAGGAAGGTTCCAAGTCAGGCTTTTAAAGATAACGAGTAGCAATCAGCTTGGCTTACAAACGCGTTAGCAAGTATGGTTAAAATCAATAATAATAAGCACTTGATAAAAAAATAAAAAAATAAAAAAATAATAATAATAATAATAATAATAATAGACACACATTTGTCCATACTAATATCAATTGGTAGCTTTTATCATTTTTCCACATATAAACATATTTAAATTTTATAATCTTCAATTATCATTTTCACACAAACAGAGAGGTATATAAATTAACAGAGCTGTGAAGAGTGAGGAGTGAGGAGTGAGGAGTGAAGTGTTTTCTTTTCAGCACAGAAAGCAAAGTGAACTTCTTTCCTCAACTTCAATGGCAACCATCACTTTCTCTCTCTAGAACTTGTGAGTTGCACAGAAATTAATGGAGTTCGATCTTGAGAATCCATTGACGAGCTTGGAGGAACATCAAATTGATACTGTTCCATCTCTATTCGCCAACGAATCGGATCTCATGCCCTCACCTACCTTCAATGCCGGCGACTTCCGCGTCTCTGTACGCCGACAAGCCATTTCTCTCATCTCACAGGTTCAAACAATACTATGTAGAAAACTTTCCTTTGGATTCTCGTGTATTGCCGAATTTTCTTGCATTTTCCGGGAAAATCGTTTCACTTTGTAATTTTCAGGCACAATTCTCTTGCAACTTTGACGACTACATCTCCTACCTCGCTATTAATTACATCGATCGCTTCATCTCCAAACAAGAAATTCCGGTAATAACAGTAGTTCATATGCATATATATATATATATATATATATATATATATATATATATATTGAAGATCTAATCAATTATGATTGCTGCAGCAAGGAAAGCCATGGATCTCAAAGCTCCTTGTTATCTCTTGCCTTTCTCTTGCAGCGAAGATGAAGAACACCGATCTCTCACTCTCAGATTTACAGGTGAAACAATTTGATGATTTGTATATGACTGTTTGAAATCTATAACAATGTTCAATTTATTTATTATATTATGAAATTCATAGTATATTTTGAAACAATGCAATGGAACAGAGAGAGGAAGGTTTCATCTTCGACGCTCAATCGATTCATCGAATGGAGCTTCTCATTCTCGCGCGTCTCAATTGGCGAATGCGTTCCATAACGCCTTTTTCATTTCTCCATTACTTCCTATCGTTTTTCGAGCTCGAAGATCCGCCATTGATTCAAGCTCTCAAAGACAGAGCTTCAGATATAATATTCATATCTCATAATGGTAAATTCAATTTCATTTTCACCAAACACGCACATTTGTGTGTATATAAAATGATATTTATATAGCTGATATCTGATTGTGAATCGTAATTTTGATTTACAGAAATCAAACTTTTAGAGTATAAACCATCGTTAATCGCAGCATCGGCTCTTCTCTGTGCATCTCATGAGCTATTTCCCTCGCAATATATGTGTTCCAGAACTGCCATCTCCTCTCTGGACTATGTAAATCAAGTAAGAAATTATATATATATATGTGTGTGTAAGTCCATGTGTGTATATATATGCTGTATCTATATTTGAGAGCATGGAAACGAGGCCAACACCTTATAATTGGAACAACAAGAAATTTGTTACACATTTTCAACTAAAATTCTTTGATATCAATTATAAAATGATGATTTGGTACTTTAAAATATATATTATTTAATTAATGATCAATTCGGTGTCCTTGGAGAAATTCACCGATCAGTGCTTTGCAATTGAAAGTAGAAGAAATTTAGTATACATTTTAAATTAAATTTCTTTCGATTTTAATTATAGGTAGTATTGTTTAATTAATGATCAATTTATTGTTGCAAGAGAAGTTGCCAATCAAAGTTATACAATTGAAATTGAAATAAATTTAGTATGGAATTTTACAATTTTTTTTTTTTTTTTTTTTTTTTTTTTTTTTACGGCAACTAATCGGTGTGCTCAAATATATATATATATATATATATATATATAAAAATTAATGCTCAATTTTTTTGTTGGTGTTGCAGGAGAAGTTGGTGAAATGTTTGAGTGTAATAGAGGAGAGTGTAATGGTCGGGTACGAGTACGCGCTTGAGGCAGTATCGAGTACTACAAAGACGCCAATAAGTGTGCTGGGCCACCATTGTACAACCAGTGAAAGTGAGAACACCACCACAGGCCATAATTTAACGGCAGATAGAGACAACATCAAACGGCGAAAATTGAATGGTTTTTGCAGCGAACATGCGTTCCAGCTTTCGCAGACACAGCAATGCTGAGATTTTCTGCGACAAGGTACAGCTTTAAACAACTAGCCATCATCAACATGAGAGAAATCAACGGCTCACTCACTCACAGCCTTCGAGGTCAAATCACCATTAAAAGAAAATAAAATTCTGAGAAATGTTACTACAAAGTTTGTTGTGTTTTTAATTTTTAGGGGCAGAGGAGAGTACAAACAATGTATTGATACGATAATAATTTTGTTGGAAGGACCATAACAATGTGGACAAGAGAAAATGTGTATTTTTCCGTACTTCCATGTGCAGTCAACTCATGGAAGGGAACAAGCCGAACAGAAAATTTTGGGATTTCCCGAGAAAAATAAATGCGGGTATAAAATGGCGGGAAAGAAAATACAGGTGCGTGGCGTGGATAAGAAAGAGGAAGCTTCGAAGTCACGTAGCTTTCTGAAAATTGTAGTATCTTTGTCGAAGGGATACGCCATTAATATTTTTGAAAGCAACGGCCACTCATACGTATGTGTATTTGCAATTCCGCATACCTAGTTAAAATAATGCTATATATATATATATTATACGTATGTATATACTACGTCCTTATAATGTAGACAAGGCTTTTTAAGTTTTTAGACATCATGCATGGACAATTTTGATAAGGGATCACAATCCTCTGCTGTTACTTTTTTTTTTTTTTTTTTTTTTTTTTTTTGTTTATTTTTATTTTTTATCCCTCTAGTATGTTTTAAAAAGAAATGAAATAATTACATAAAAGTGTAATATGTTTTATTTATTTATTATTATTATTTTATCCCTCTCGTATGTTTTAAAAAGAAATGAAATAATTACAGAAAAGTGTAATATGTTGTGTTGGTGTTACATTTTAGATGTAAACTTGTTGCATCAATGGTTTATCTTTATTGTGTGATACTGTCTATGTAATATAGTGTTTATTGTTATGATAAACACAACGAACTCAAGAAATAATTACGAAATACGATAGAAGATAAACATGATATGCACAAAAAATATAAAAATTTAGTGTGATTCGATACAAGTCGTATCTACGTTTACGATGAAAATTGGGTAAAAAATTTTACCATGCCAAAGAAAAAAGATTATAAGTTTGAGGCTCCAAACCCTAACTCTTGCATGTTTGGCACTTTTTATTTGTTATCATTTTCGGTGTTTCTCAATATCCTATTCCAAATTCAAAACTTCTTAATTATACAGTGGCTACAAGACTTGTAAGCAAATATGAGTCAAAAATTTTTCTTAGGTTACTACCCGGAATCTCTATAATTTTGGTGAGCTTGGATCCACACAAAACTCGATGATCGAATTGTCGGGTCGAATATGAGTTGTAACACAATCTGAAATCAAATTCGGACCACAACATCACATGTTCGGCACATTCTTTGTGATGCTTGTATTGCATTGTTGAGATGCTGATCGTATAGTATTTTAATTTCTATTCTTGTGAAAAGAAACTGCGTTGTGTATAATATTTGGTTAAATAATATGATTTTACGGAATCCAATATCGTTGGCATGTTGTGAAACAAAATGCATACAGTACACAAAAAGTCTAATATTTATCATAGTATTCGCACGAGTCATGGTCCCTTAATTATCCATTGTACTGGCCGTCCAGTGGCCAACTTTGGAGCTAGTGTGTGTGAACCGTAAGAAGATAGAGATAGCATGGTCGCACAAATCTTATCATTGGGCCAGTGGAATATGAAGCAATTTAGAATGTGAATAAGAATGTTACAAACGTTGACTATTATCCAAGTATTACAAGAAAGCACTTATTTTGGCAATGGCTAGATTATAAGGAAGATTAATGCTTTCTTTGTTATGGTAAGTTAGTAACTTGATTTAAAAAAATAAAAATAAAAAATAGTTAGTAGCAAATAACATCTAAAAATAATGAAAAATAACATTCCACTTTATCTTTTTGGTAACTCAAACTTTTACCATCCATCTTAAAAAATAAAGGAAATACTATTAGATCACAAGGCCGTTAGTCATCTTTGATCCTTCACAACAACCTGAGAGCCCTTAATCATGCTGCAATTAAGTTACTAAATATGCTTCTAAGTTCTAACAATTAAGCCATTCTTTTTTCTGAAAAATAGAAAGCAATGGATGTTAATGAGAGGAGAAGAATTTTATCGTGGGCCTTATTGGGCTGTTGGGCCATCACTTTTGTTGGGTTAAGTGGTATTAAATATTGGGAAAATTACATATAAATGGAGTCAAAGTTCCAAATTTCTCTAAAATGGATTGCTGAGGTGGCACATGATTTTTTACTGTTTAGAAAATTATGGTGCCTAAAATGCCCTTCCCTAACAAAAAAGTAGTACCTTCAATGCAAAAAAATAGTACATTCAGTTCAAAAAAGTAGTACTTTCGGAGAAAAAGTAGTACCTTCGCGGGTGTTTAAAAAACATGGTACCTGGACGCCAAAAAGTAGTACCTTCAGTTCAAAAAAGTAGTACCTTCGAAGAAAAAGTAGTACCTTCGCGGAAGGGTATTTTAGGCACCACAATTTCTAAACAGTAAAAAACCATGTGCCACCTCAACAATCCATTTTAGAGAAATATGAAACTTTGACTCAGCCTCTAAGTAAATATAAAACTTTGACTCCATTTATATGTAATTTTCCCTTAAATATTTTCGAATTTGGGCTTTTGTAATTAGAAGTAGAAGTACCGGTTACTTTGATGACCTTTTCAATGGCAAGAATTGAGAAAGTTTAGGCGTTTGATTAATTCAAGAAACTGTTTTTGAATTGGTAGTGTTGTGTGTGAGTGAGAAGATAGGTTACCGTTCTTGAAATTATTTGATTTATGGAGGATAATTTGATATAAGAATTTGAAAGGACATCAAAAATGATTTTCAATTAATATAATTTTCAATATAAGTGTAATTTTGATTGTAAGAGAAGATTTGTCTATCTCGCGAAAAAGGGGACTGCAGTCATAGACATCGTATATGTTGTTTTCTTCCAAATTGAAAAGCAGATTTAAGTATGCCCAATAACACTCACTGTAGGCGTTAAAAACCGAGGAGAGAAAGAGAGAGAGAAAAAAAAAAAAAAATCGAAAATCTTCAATACAACATACTGATTCAACTAAGTGGTGCTCATTGGGCTTGGGCTCATTGTTTCACTATTATCTGACCAGCCCCGGCTCGGACTTATTCTTTCACTTCACTTTTATGTGACGAGCCAAGACGCACCATCAATAACCAAGCCAAAGTAATGAGGTCTCCACCTTTTTTAGTTGTTGGGCATGAGTATATCCTCCGCAACTATTTGCAGCATAACACAGTATTTACCCAAACTCTGGCCCATCTATCTTTGTCGGGCAACTCTTTTATCGTGTTTGGCCCAACTTGCATGCATTCAACAATACGGATTTGCTTTTATCTTCCCATTCTTTACTGGAAAGTGCAGGGGCAGCATATGCATTAACAACAGCATATGGGGGTGGTTCTTCTGAGTTAGTTTAGATGGTTGATGTTAAGTTGAGACAAATTGTTAATACATAAAATCAAAGACTGAAGGTATTGTTACTGAAGGTCTCCATTATGGACTGCACCGGAAGTGTGGCCTTGGCTGCTGGAGACGAGCCCGACAGCGAAGTTTGCAGCCCAGTCTGCGAGCAAGTACGCGGACCAGAGAGGCATGATTATCCAATTGTTTGGCGTTCGCTTTCTCAAGGGGGCAAAAAAACGTTAAGAAGGTTTGCAGTGAAAGGCTTAAGATAATGAAGGCTCGGAGATCCCATGAATCCCAAAGTTGCTTCCAAGGAAGTTCCATATCCTCCTTTAGGATTCTTAGGTGGAGCAAAAACTTCTTAGTTCTTGAGATGCATGATACAGATCATAAGCACAATTTAAAGAATTTGCACATAGCCTTCAAAGAAGATGCATCCATTGACCAAATGCGTTTTACAATAAAGTCAATTCCCATGCCTTTGCTATTTTAAATCGTACTATTAAATATTCAGTAAACGTTGACTGATTAAATTATTGATTCCATGATGGAATCTTAATTTTAAAACTTTCTTGATAATTCTTAAAGCCAGCCTAGTTCGTGACAACTAGTGAGCAACAACTAGTAAATAGTAAGATGGACGAGTTTAGAAAAGAAAAGACTTAAAATTAGAATAATGAACTTAGTAAATTGCCCCCGGGAGCGTAACAGTGATGGTAAGGTGCTTGCATGCGTCGAGTCCTCCCAAGTCTAATATTTCCTTGACTTACCCAGTGTATTATCGGGGGGTGTAGAACTGAGAGGAGTTTCTGGTGCTAACCAAAAAAAAAAAAAAAAAAACCCCAGTAAATTGGATGAATTTTGATTCCAACTTGAATTGATGATAATTTTATATCTCTAAGTTGAGCTCCAACAAGATCTGTGCAAATATTCCCTACTGAGCTAGTTAGGGTACCTAACAGTGGAAGAGGCATCCTTAGTCCATCCAACTTGTCTGGCGGGAGTTTTTTTTTATTTTAGTATTTTAATAATATACTTATCTAAAGAAGCTATGTAGTATTTTATCCAGTTTTGGTGATGCCATCATGCTTTATCATGACTCTGACGTCACATGAATTAATTGCTCAACATAATAAAAGAAATTCATAGGTAAAAACATATGATTACATGCATTTTGGAGCACTTTGCTTATATATTACTATAGTTATAGATTCCATGCAGTAGTTAATCAATATTTGCAAATGGCTGGATGCAGGAGTTCAACTATTCATAGATATAAATATTGATTAAATACAGATCTGTATATATATTTATATATATAGTTTTGATGATGTCAGCATTACTTTATCATGGCTCTGCTGTCACATGAATTAATTGGTCAAAATGAACAAAGAAGTCCAAGAATAAAAACACGTGATTACAAGGACGCTTACATGTATTTCGGACTACTTTGCTTATATATTAGTATTACTGTGCATATGGATTGCCTAATTTGCATGCAGTTGTGGTGGTAGTCGTCTTCTTCTTCTTTTTCTCATTTTTTTCTTTCTCGCAATTGGCACAGGAGGGTCGGATATAAATATAGATGAATTACAGATATGTGTGTATATATACATCGTATAATATTTTAGTCACATTATTGCACATGACAATGCGCTGTGTGCAAGTAACTACATACATCTTCTAAAAGTAAACTTTTTGACTTAACAAAACTACAAAAATAAAAAAATAAATAATGTAGTAATGTCTCACTTGTAAGATCAAATATGTGAATGCGTTGGATCAATAAATAAATGCCTCACTCAAAGATTTTAATTACATATAATATAATTGATCAATATATAATTTCTTTTATATATATATATATATATATGAAATTACAATTATTTGAAAATCTTGAACTGCGAAAGCTTCGGTCAACAGCCATATGAGATGATTCCAACTATCCTCAGTTCCTTTGATGCTTTCAATGGATGCTAGCTCAAAGTTGTGAACTCTTCAGCTTTGTAATAACTCTCTCTTATTTTCTGTATTTGTGAGGATATTATATCATAATATGGATCTATAGTCCCCCATCCAGTGGGTCAACAGTGGACTTTGAAAAAGTTTTAGCTGGCAAAACTTTGTGGC